ACACACACACTCACGAATGCGCACGCTCACACATACACAGCGACTAAGGCCAACGCGCAGAGAGGTTAAAGCAATTCAACTCCGCAAAATGGCCGGGCGAACTCTAATAAGAGTAACAATCGCTGGGCGTTATTAGGGATGGCAGCGTGACAATCTAATTGTCTGGTGCGTGTTATACGTATTGTTAATGACTGTTGATTTCAGTCTGACACAAACACAATTTGATAGACATATTAAATTAGTTAAGTATATTTTAGGCTTTATTGATTACATTATTTTCGATATTCCATGTTCTTTTAATTATCATCACAATCACAAGTTGATCATCACTATTTGCGCGTGCCTTGATTCTGAATCACTATTGTAAAATCAGGCTATGGCTTAAACAGACCCGGCGTCTTTTGCTGCTGCCATTGATGTATCGCTGTTGTTTTCTTTTAGACTTAAACCAGTTTGCGGCAATGCCACCGTTACCGGCTACCGTTGCGATTATTACTGCGCTCACTGGTGCTGTTTCTGTTGCTGTTGTTGTTTTTGTCGATGTCATCTCAGTCGGTTCCTGCTGCTCTGCTAGCTGAGCAGACAGAAGACATTGAACCGCATTGACAACCGTGACTTTTGTTTGCCTCAAAATATATTAACACACTTCGCTCCAATATTGTTTAAACATTAATATATATACACATATTATATATATATTTTATATATATATATTTTATATATGTATGTCATATATTTGTGTACATATTGCTTTTATTTTTCTTTATTGACGTTGTGCATTTATCAATTTTATTTTATACGCTTGAAGCGTTTACACATAGACTCACTCACACACACACACACACTTGTGCACCCGCTGAAAGTGTGAGTGCTCATTAAGCGATTGCCGCAATTGGTGCGTGATAACGTCACACATAAACACTCAAACACACACACACACACGCACAGATAATGAAACGACGTAGTGAACCGAACCAATAAACAAATTGAACGGGAATTCGAGTTCGAAACGTGCGTCCCAATTGGAATGCTTACGCCTGCGTCCGACAACCGACGACGACTGACTGACTGCGACGTCGCGCTAAAAAGCTGATAGAGCCGGAGCCCTGTTATTGTTATTGTTGTTGCTGCTGTTGCGCTTGCTGTTGTTGTAGCTGTTGATGTTGCCGTTGCTGTTGTTGCCGCCGCTGCTGCTGCTGCTTATGTACGTACTATTTGTTGTTTTTATGTGCTGCGGGCGCAAGGAAAACAAAGCGAAACGCAGCTAAAACACAAATGCAAACAAACAACGCAGTCGCAGCCGTCGACGCGTCGTGGGTAGCAGAACGGCACGAGGCGTCAACAACTACGAAACCGAAGCTAAACACAACGAACCAACGAGCCAAATTGAAGCGGCGAATGCTAAAACAAAAACACCAAAGCGAAAGAGCACAGAAGCAAAAGCGCCATCAAATGAGCCAGTGCGTGCGCCAGCTAGTGAACGGAGATGAACTAGTTCTTTGCTAGCTGTTACCATGAACATGAATAAATACCAAAAACGCGATGCTGTCAAATTAATTTTTAAACTATAAAAAAGGAAGCATAGTCAAAAAACATTTCTTATTGGAATGCCAAAGGAGCCAAATTCTTCCAATATGCCCAGCCCTGAAAATTTCGAATAACAATTTGTACACGCGCTGCCAGTTAACAACAGCAAAACAAAAGGGCAGGCAAGCAGAAACAAACAAACAGAAGAAGAACGGCAAAAACAAACAGCAGACAAACAGAGCGACAGACAGACGAGATGTAGAGAAGGCAAGAAGGGGCTGCGCTTGAAGGGGTCGTCACCTTTAACAGTAGGCGGCAGCCATGTAAACACGAAGAAGGCAAAGAAGAAGATAACGACGGCGACGGCGACGGCGACGACGAAGAAGAAGATGGAGTCAATGACGACAACGTAACGAGCGAGAGAGAAAGAGAGCAATGTGAAGCGTTGGCACTTGGAGGTCGAGGCAGGATACAAATGTTACGCTGTCTATGTGTGTGTGCTTGAGTATGATTATGTCAGTGTGTGTGCGTGTGCTTGAGTGTGATTATGTCTGTGTGTGTGCGTTGTTTGTTGATGCGTAGTCAGTGTGCAGTTGCATTGGCGCCGGCAACAACAACCAAATGCAGGATAAACGAGGCAAAGCAACAACAATTGTACAAACAAACATACATAGAAGGAAGCGAAACAAACAAACAAACAAACAAACATACATAGCTAAATTGCATTGTGTATTTATTTATTTATTTAGTCGATGGCAACACCAACGAATGCTGCACACGCAATCTGCACAACGTGCCATGGCAACCGGGCCCCGCCCTATCCCACCTTTCAAGTCAAGGTATGCAGAGTATGCGGCACTCAGACGCACTCACGGCGAGCATTAGGCATAAAAGAGTTCTACACAGCAGCCAGCAGACAGCGACATGCGATGCGACACCTGGACAGACAGGTGTGGATAATGGAAGTTAAATTAATTACGAGCGTTATTTAGCTCACTTTTATTACAGGTAAGCTTTTGTTATCTTAGAGACAACAACAAGTTCAAAGGGATTGTGTATGGAAGTAGAAATACTTTTAGATATAAAAAACTTTTATTTTAATTATTATTATATATATATATATATATATATATTTTTTTTTTGAATTTAAACAAACTCAAATAGAATAAGTTTTATACATTTAGCTAAGAATATCTTGAACACTTAATGTAATAAAGATATTTTAGTTTCAGTTTCGTAAGTGTAAACCGCTTAACCAACAACGACAACGGCAACGACATCGAAAGTTAAGCAAACGAATAATGCATGGAATTCGACTCCACAGCCAGACGATGTACGAAGCCCACTGAAATGTTAGTTCAAAGCCAGACCAAGTGTGAAATAATCACATTAAGCAACAAACACAAGTAGAAGGCGACACTTGGCAGACAGTCAACACTTGCCCGGACGACAACAAACAAACAAAGCAGCTAAGACTCTATCTCCCTCTCTGTTTGTCGCCCAAGTAGGTTGCCAGGTTGCCAGTGACAAGGGCCACAGAGCCAAGAGTCATTGCCGGGGCAACCCACAGGGAATCGTACTCTAAAGACAATTGCAACAAGCCAGCGTCAAGTCAGACAACTTCAAGTTTTGAAGAGCAGCACAAGAACGGGCTACACACAAATCCATCTGCTTCAATTTAATTAAAAAGTTAAGTTTTGTGTTCAATTGAACTGATCTTTCAAATGAACTACTCAAATTGTTCCATTATCAGGGAACAATGCAGTTCAGTCGTTACTCTTTGCTCAGCTAGTCAAAGAATCAGAATATTTTCATGTCGATCAATAGTTCAGGAACGTTTCGATCTTTAGTTATTTATTAAAGTTATTTAGTTATTTATTAGTTATTATATAAAGGTATTTACTATTCTTTTGAGCTCTTGTTCTATAACTGTTCAGTGTGAGACGTTAGTTAGTTAGTTAGACGTTAGCAAAATCTGAGCTGGTTAACTGAACATAATTCCGAATTTTAACTGATATTCGTATCGTAGCCTTAATCTTTGATCTCCTAATTTCTATGCTCATTTTAAAGTTATAGAATTAATTCTTAGCCTTGGTGCTAAGTCACTAATTACTACTTCGAAATAATGAAGAACTGAAGCACTGTGCAATAATACTTTGATTGAAAATAACTGGCTGCTTTATACTTGGGTAACAATGATAAAGAGAACTGTTTACTAAGCTAACTAATAATGAATATTGATTGAGCTTAAGCTCTAATAAGGACTATTCATGAATAAGGAATATTATGGTGAGTCTTAATTTCTAAGCAGCATCTGAAGATCAAATTTTCTACTTACAGCTTCAAAAAGAAACGAGATATGCTCAAATAACTAAAATTTATTATTAATTTTTATCGATTTCAAGAGTCTTATCCTATGAGTGCCGAAACAGCCATCCTTATCCTAGAACATATTTACCCTTTATTGTCAGCCCTGCTGTTGCCTAACAGTAACATAGATTTAAGACTTATCGATTTCAAGATTCTTATCTTATGAGTGCCGAGACAGCCGAACAGTGCGAGATCAGCTCAGCTACTGATCCTCGACCTGGAACATATAGACCATCTAGTGTCAGCCTTACTTTCGCCTTATAGTAACACAAATTCTAGCAAAATCAATATACCCTGAGCTATATTCCATGGGGTATACAAACATAATCGCGCTCATAGCTTATACAAATAAATGTTTTAATTATCTTTTTATTATGCTCAGAGTTGTGCAAAATGTGTTCTATGGTGTCTGGACGCCTCAATTTTACTAAGCAACTAATTGGACTCTTATTTGTGTTTTTCTTTTTATTATTGTTTTATTTTTTAATTTATTTCACACTCAAAACGAAAAGTTGAACCTTCATGTCAAACATTTCTAAATAGGGAGCCGCGAAAGGCAGAGTCAATGAGCCCATGAGTCATCGGCTACATCTGTATACATATATATATAGATATATATATATATATATATATATGTATATGTGTGTATGTGTGTGTTTGCGTATATTTGCAAGGCTTAGTCAAGTTGCTGTCACAGGGGCCTTTTTAGACCATTATGATGACGCTGCCTGTTGATGGGCCATGGCGCCTCGAGTCTCAACTATTTTGATGACCTAATTGTGTCTGTGAAACCACCCTGTTGCTCAAATACGCACACACACGCACTTGGCTACATTTGTACATGTCGAGTTTTATTTATAGTCGAGTATATATGCTTACAAAGGGAAGTTCTGTTATTTCTTTTCATTGCAATTTGACCTTTAGCCATTTGACTTCTGTTTGCGCACAGTTTCATCACTTCAAATTGATCCGAAATCAGCTTTAATATTTTTTTTTAGACACATTATGTAGCCAGCTGTTAGGCGCGAATTTATCTAATCAGTTAGCCGGAGGAACAGGGCATTCAAAACTGTGCGAACAGTTTAGTTTCTGTTTGGCGTTCGAGCGCGTAGGAAGTGCCGCGGAACAGTTCTGTTCGGATTAAAGAGAAATATACAGACAAATATATATCGATATATATATATATATATCTATATAAACACATACTGTAGAAATGGATTTGCGCTTGGGTGTGACCGACAAAATTAAGATAGCCGCAAAGTAAGTGAGGCAGTCAGCCTGTCCAAAGTTTCATGGTAATCAGTCTCTAGATGGGTATCTCCTGTTCCTAGACGGTCTTTGGCTAACGTAACAATATTAAATTGGCATTGTTGTTATTCCATTATAGATAAGTTATCTCTTGATAATCCCATTGTAATGGGCTATCTAAGTGCTAAATAAATATGGCGTAAAATACCTTTTATTTGAACAGACTACAACTAGGGATTATATAGATTTATTCCAATTAAAAATCAATGCTTAGAGTATTGTCCCTATTTTATATAAAATATATATACTTCAGTATCTAAAATATATATAAATTTAAAGATTATATGAAGAGGAACTTATTATTAATATTAAGCTTAACTAACTAAACTTTCTAATCAGCTGAGACTGAGATATCTGTTTGCATGATTAAATATTTTGAGATATAATTCGGTCTGAAGGTCTAAATAAGTTATAAACGTATTTAAATTCTCGTCATTTTGCAGCTTTAACTGTAAATTCGTTTATTTGCGTGGCACTTTCACCATTCTGAGAATAAAAGTGCGAGTCGTCCGATATCACTTAAGCATTACTCGTTATTCAATTTGAGTTATTTTTGGGCACGCACGCTGAATTATTCAAAGTTTATAATTGGAAAATCAAACGAAAACATAAATCGAATGCGTGAAGCGCGGCTTTCAATGGGTTTATAGCCAGAACTAATGGGCGTACGCTGTGGGTATATTGGTGCTGTTAAACATTATGTAACAGACAAAAAGTGGGCTCATATATTAGTAATCACGAAACCTATAAGAGCTAATAGAATTCTATAGCTGCCTTTATAATAGTTAAAGATACTTAAATTCAGTTTATCGATAAATTTTCAATCGATAACACACTTTAGTTATTGGGCACATTTCTTGCCTTGTGTCTGGCAAATTTCAAGTGATTTACCCACTTGTTGGGCGCCTAAGCAACAGCGCAAATGGTGAGGCAAGCAGCGTGTGTGTATGTGTGTGCGTGTATATGTATGTGTGTATGTGTATATAGGAATATACGCGTCTCCTTGACGAGTATAGTAGACTGGAAGCACTCTTGTTGGTGTATGCATGCGCTGTTTCAATGAATGTATACAGTAAACAGCGGTCGGGGTATCTCCTAGTCGAGCACTTGCGACTGGAAGCTCTATTTTTAGTGTGTGTATGTGTTTCTATGTGCAGGGTATATGCATCATATGCTATCAGGGCTTCTAGTCTAGTCTCCTAGACTTCCAACTGAAACACTCTTGTTGTTGTATGCATATGTTTCATCGCGGCTATCAGGGTATATCCCAGTCAAGTACTTCCTTGTTGCTGTTTGTATGTGTTTCTATGCATCTGCACAGTAAACAGCCATTCATCACGGCTACCAGGGTATCTGCTAGTCGAGTACAAGTCGTATTGTTGCACAACAAATTCAATTCAATAATTATTGCTTATATTTTATTCCACGCATTCAGAGCCATGGGCCACAAGGTCGTGCTGTATCGACTGAGCACCGGACATACCAAAGTGCTGGAGACCAAATGTGGCAAGGTGAAGGGCATGGAGCGCAAGACCATCTATGATGGAGAGCATTACTATTCCTTTGAAGGTATACCCTACGGCCAGCCACCGGTGGGCGAGCTGCGCTTTCATGCGCCACAACCAGCCAAGCCCTGGGAGGGGGTGAGAGACTGCACCCACGCTCGATCGCAGCCCATCCAGAAGAACTCCATAACGAGCGCTGTGGAGGGATCTGAGGATTGTTTGTACATCAATGTGTATGCCAAGCGCCTGGAAACACCCAAGCCACTGCCTGTCATGGTGTGGATCTACGGCGGTGGCTTCCAAATCGGCGGTGCCACGCGAGACATCTACGGACCGGACTACTTCATGAAGCACGACGTCCTGTTGGTCACCTTTAATTATCGCGTGGGCGCCTTGGGCTTCCTCAGCCTCAAGGATCCCGAACTGCAGGTGCCTGGCAATGCGGGTCTTAAGGATCAGGTGTTGGCATTGCGCTGGGTGCGTGATAACATAGCCAGCTTCAATGGCGACGTGAACAACATTACACTGATGGGCGAGAGTGCGGGCGGAACGTCCGCACACATGCTGATGCACACGGAACAGGCACGAGGCCTGTTCCATCGCGCCATTGTACAGTCGGGATCGGCGCTGTGCGAATGGTCCACCCAGCCGGATAGGGGCGCTGTCCAGCGTCTGGCCAAACGTTTGGGCTACAAGGGCGAGGAGGGCAACGAGAAGCAGCTGCTACAGTTTTTCAAAGCGGCATCTGGGCATCAGCTGGCGCAGTACTGCAATGCGATCGTGACCCAGGAGGAGCATCGTCAATATGAGATAATTGCCTTCGGGCCTGTCGTGGAGCCATATGTGGGCGACGATTGCGTCGTGCCCCGGCCTTATATCGAGCAACTTGTCAGCGCTTGGGGCAATGAGATACCGCTCATTATTGGTGGCACCTCGTTTGAGGGACTATTCAGCTATAAGACAACGCTGCAGGACAAGGAGCATATGCTCAGTGCCTTTGAGGCCATTATTCCAAAACCCGTGCGAGATACCATCGATGCCAACGAGCTGACCGAGCAACTGCGTCGCCTGAAGCTGGCCTACTTCGACGATGCCGATCGCGCCCAAATGGAGCTATTCGAGTGTCTGCGTATACTGAGCATCAAGAACTTCTGGCATGCGATTCACCGCTCGCTGCTCGCTCGTGCTGCCTATGCTCCAGCCACGCCCACCTACTTGTACCGCTTCGACATGGACTCGCCGCACTTTAATCACTATCGCAATCTGCAATGCGGGCGACATGTGCGCGGAGTTTGTCACGGGGATGACATATCCTACATGTTCTACACGCTTCTGTCCAACAAACTGAATAAGGCCACGCCCGAGTATCGCACCATTGAGCGCCTCATTGCCATGTGGACCTCATTCGCCACGACGGGCAATCCCAACTGCCCGCAGATAGAGCCCATTCAATGGGAGCCAGTGCGACCGGGCGTCTCGGAGCTCTGCCTGAACATCGCCGAGGAATTAGAGTTCAAGCCATTGCCGGAGAGCAAAGAGTTCGTGGTGTGGGACAGCTTCTATACAAGAGAGACTCTATACTAGCACTGCGCTCCCCCCCTTAAGCTAACCGGTTTGCATTTAATGAACCAACTCCGCCCAACGGTTCGCTTTAAGCTTTATCTCGTTCATTGTTCAATTTTCATTGATGATAATGAATGTTAACAATAAAACTGTTGTGTTTCAGAAATTATAAATTAGCTTCATAGGTATTATTGAACTTTTTCATATTTGCAAATTTGTAATTTTATAACTTCATGCCAGCCAAAAATTTCTTTGATTTTAGATTTATATTTATGCGAACACTCAAGTCGGTGTCATTATTAATAACTATTTATAACTCTTGAAGGATTAACAATATGATTTCCTGCCGCATTTAATGTACTCAGTGCTTCTGGTTTTGCTACCAACGATTGTCAACAATTTTACGAGTAATTAAATTTATATAATAAATATGTCTACAATGAAAGCTTGAATTTTTTTCTGGTTTAAATATTTATATATTATATTATAACATGGAGATAATCTGGTGATGCTGGATGCCTTGAAGCTGCGAGCAATGCTTTGGTAAAGCTCTAAATCGATTCTTGTTTGGCTGGGCAATTGTTGGTCCTGGAAATCGATTTCTATTCGAGTATGAATAGCTCGAACTAAATGTAAGCAATGCTTTTGAAAATGCTTTAAAATATATAAAGCATATATGAATAAATTTCCTAGTAAGTTCTTTAAAGTCAACTGTGCTAATATTCATTATATATAATTATAAATAATATATAATTATATACTTAGATATACCTTTGCCTAGAGCTACATAGACCTATACGATCTTAGACTCATTAGCTATAGAATTACAACTCAATATAAATGTTATATATATTACATTTGTTCATAAATTGATATATATATATATAACTATTACTATTACATTTGTTCATTAATTTATTTATATATATATATATATATATATATATATAACTATACATAACTATATATTTGTCAGCTCTCAATCTGGCATCAAAACGATTTGCAGGCCGATGCATTCTGCAGATCGTTTAAGGATTCAAATTTATCCACAAAATTATCCACAGTTTCAATTTTACCTAGAACAGATCGACCCTTCAGATCGACTCCTAGTTATATATATGCATATATAATGCTGTTAGCATTGTTATTTCTATGTTATCAAACAGTTGCAGAATTAGGATCCACAAGTTTGGCTCTGTAGACAACATTACAGTTATATGATCTACAGTTTCAAGCGTGGCATAACGGCACACATTGATTTCTTAATCAATTAAATTAATTTTGGAACGTGAAGTCGATTTCTCCCGACTTAAATATTCTTACTCAATTTCTTATGTAATTTAAATATTTATCTTATGTGTTTCCTTTGAAAACAAAATTTGAAATTCTGCTATGTCTTAGAGTTTATATTTCTGCATTGTCTCTCGTACAGGGTATTCCCCTATTCTATTGCTGCTGCTGCTGTGCATAATTTCTTTAACCAGTTTTAGCTGGTTTTTTGCAACAATTTCTTGGCGAGCGGCCAAAAGTTCTTAAACGCCACCAAACACCGCGGGTCATTGTTGTCATTCTCATAATTAAATTTTCAGCATAGTTAAAAATAAATGCAATTGAAGAGCGACAGAAGACGAAGAGCGCACTGCGAGCCAATTAATGAAAAACAATTTTGATTAAGTGCAAATTATTGCTGTAAAATGTACGAAGTTATAAAAACAAATGATTAATATTTAGATAGCACATAGTTTGCACGCCTTTGTTTATTCACATTTGGACCGAGCTGTAAACACAAAATAGTCGAACTCATCTATAAATATATAGATCTAGCGATCGACTATATCTGCCGTGGCAAATAGTTTACGCTATTTCCATGGCCATAAAAGATAGAAAACACATGTTTATCTTACTTATTATGCTAAATGGGCGAACACCGAGGCACGTATACGCTGACGTTGAAAGTGGAATGTGGTTTGATGATGAATTTTGTATTAAGTTGAATTACTATATATATAATTGATATATGTAATTAGAGAGATATAATAATTATCGAAGATTAGCTTGCTTTAACTGCTAACCATTATTTTCTCTAGGTCTGAATATATAATATAGAAAAGCTTTCCGAAACATTTAATTCGGATAGTAATGCAGAAGTATGGCATTTCTATACTTAAGAAGCATCTAGCTAAATACAGAAGCTCCATACTGTTATTTATCGATTTTGTGCTACATAATCAAAATTATCGATTACTTAAAACAAACGGGAATTGAGAGTATATGCATAAAATTATTCTAGTTATCAGAGATCCTTTGAATAGCCAAACATACAGTCAGATAAAAGTACTAGATCAACTCAGCTCTTCAGCTTAATCAAAAATATATACTCGCAAACACCTTCTTCTTTAACATTTAAAATGTCTGCAAAATTAAATTTCATATAAAATTAGATTTTATCTATTGAAATATACAATTTCTATCCCATAGTTCTCAGACTTGAGGGTATCTGGAAGTCAAGTTGGGCAACAGAAACATTCCGCTCTGGCATGATATTTAATTTATTCACAATTGAATGGGGCGAGAAAAAGGCAGGAATGAAAAAAAGACTTTGGCAAAGGCAACAGATCGATTAAAATTCGTTTAAATTTGGATTCGCTTTTTGCTCGAAACTCTTTAAAGATGAGCATAAATATTAAATGGTTTTTCGCACTTACTCTTTGGAAATTTGCGTACGTCATGCGACCAACCGCCGTCCCCCACCACTTTCACCCAGCTGTGTGGGGGGTCGGTCGATTGGTCCATTGGTTGGTTGGTTGCTCTGGCTTAGCGCCAAAAAATGTTGCGTTTGAATTGCGCCGCTTGCTTTACTAGGTTAAATTTAATTAATTTGTCTCGATGATGCTCGGTTGCCAGGCTCGTCGTTGATTTGCCATGCTTGATTATTTATTCATTTTGCATTTTAACTGAATAGCTCTGCTCGATCCCGCCACAACCTCAGCCCCAATGCCCCATTGTCTGCCCGCCAAATAGTCGCATTGCAGCATTTGCAATTTTATTGCATTTATTTATTTATTATTTTATATGCATTTTTTTTCTCTTTATGTTTGTTTTATTTCTGAAGTTGTGTGTGTGTGTGTTCCTCTCTGAAATTTACACAATTCCAATTAATGGCATTTAATTATTTATTCGGCATTTTGCACATTGCGTTCGCCGTCCAATCCAGTTTCAGCGGCAGCTGTGAATTTTGCATTTTTATGGCATGTTGCAAATTTTGCGCTTTGAATATAAATTTCAAATGAAATGCCACAAATTGAGGCACCTCGCCTGGGTCTGGGTCTGTCTATCTATTTAATAACAATGCGCAATGCAATTTAACTGGGGTCACACAAAAAAACGTTGAATAGATATAAAAATATGGCCAGACAGGATTTTAAATAATTTATATATGAATACATTTATTTGCATATTATCAAAAAAGTGCAATGATTTGCTTTTCATCAAATCACATTCATAATTACATATATATATGTAGGTATATATTTTTAATTATAAATCAATTTTTGTAGCTAAAGTCAAAGCTTTGTAATTTACATAAGCATTTGGTAATTAAATAAATTCGAATTTGGCACATTTTAATTGAGTTCGCAAATATTAATAATAAATACTTTACAAACATTTTCACATGCCAATAAATTGCCTGGCAACATCAGTCAGTAAAGCAGACTCGAAATGATTTTGATGCTCGTTCAAATAGTGTAAAAGAGTATATTTGCTGTCATGTAAATCTATGCATCTTAAGCTAAATACTTTAAAATGTGAATATATACTAAATATTTTAAGGTTACTTAGATATAAAACAACTGGAGGCATGGCAAATCAGGAGACTAGAGTCTTGCAATATATATTCTTTATTATAAACTTTTAGATTTAAGATCGAAATGACATTGTTAGAGTTTGAGAGTTTAAAAATATATATCATCCACAGATTGGCATCAACACGTATTGCAGAAATATTATTAATAAGTTTTTCGGTCAATTTAAAATCTCAAATAAATACAAACTTTATCTTCTATAGTTTACAGCTAGAATCTAGTATGTGGTACTGCCAAGCGACTGATTAAAGGTCAACCTGTTCCTTCGCCGTTTTAGTACTACTATAAACAACACTTGAGTAGTTTTAGTTTTATGATCCGAACAAAAAAAAAAACCTAGATTATCTGCCAAATGTAGGCCAACTGATTTGTTGAATTTTATGTGTAGCGCAGCTGTCTTAAAAATGTATAAAAATATTATGTAGCTCGTTAAGATCTTAAGGAAGGTCCATGAAATCGATAATAAAACAAAGACACATAAAACTTTTATTTTAATATCAGCCAAAGCACAACCAGAGCTGGAAAACTATATTTAAATTTAAATAGTTTTTAATAATCTAAACGAACGTTAATGGCTTTGGCTTAATCACTTAAATCTCTATCATTGAACAACGAATTATTTCCGCGTTTAAACGTTTGGGAAACTCTCTGTTTTAATTGCTTCAACCGACTATTGAACCCGTTCGCCAATCTTGCACATTTAATCGTTTATTTTCCGAGCAAAGTCATTAATTGGCTGCTAAGTTAGGTGAGTCAGAATTCTATAAATATGCAACAAAATTCTAATTTCAAACTGAAGCTCTCTGCTTGCTCAATCTTATCAACGAAATGTGATGGACAGCGCGATGTCGCAGCGCCCAAAAATACATTTCACACACAGAAATAACATAAAGCGCGAGAGGCGAAAAAACCAAAAAAAAAAAGGCAGACAAATAATCGCGGAAAGCTATTAAATTTTAATCGGCAGCACAAGCGACCCTGCGGTCAAAATTCCCACCAGACCGAGCCGAGTCACATGTGATGGGCATGATAATTCGCTGTTCGCTCTTCGCTCTGTGTGGCTGACTCCCAACATCGAATCCACTGATTAATCGCACAGCACGCGGGGTCATTCTGCGGCGCCAAACCATACCAGCCATACCCTACCACATCTTTAGCCAACATCATCATCATCATCATCGGCTTTATTATGATCATCAACAGCACAATTTGCACTCATCCACATCCTCAGCTTCGCAGCGACAGCAATTTGTTTATTTTGATTCGTGTGACGCGAAAAACTGTTCTCGTAAATTTGATTGCGCAAATGTTTTTATTTCCTCCAAGTGCTTTTAGTCGCCAACGAGTTGAGTTTGTGTGAGCAATAGCACCTCATATTGCAAAAGAGAGTACAAGTTCAATAAAGCTATGTAGATGCCAATGCAGTTTCTACTGAAACAGTTTTTCTTTTCGAAACACATCAATAAGATTTTTATGAACTTCAAAAAATATATCAGATTATGCATTTGCTGACAGTTCCGCTTAGTATCAGCAGCTAGCCTTTATCTAGTATTATAATAACTGAATAACTGAATAACAAAATTAACAACTGACTCGACTAGCAGATATCCTAGATACATTTTACATATTTCAACATTTTTTTTATTCAGAGAAATACTGAATGTCTTAAGACACTCGCCTAGTTAAATGTTTAAGTCTCGAAAACTACAACGCTGCAAACTAATAATGCTTAAATATCCAATTATTTACGCCTAAACCATTATAGAAATATATATAATTTTCTTATATATAAACAATTTCAATATTTTTCTTAAAAAGTATAAATGCTAGAGCAAAAGAATTACACTCAACCCTTTTAATATATCAGTTCTAATTAAAGATAATTTCGAATGCTTAATATTTTTTTACTTCCTAAGAGGAATACCATAAGCCAGTCGTAAAAAAATCTTTCTTCAAGTAAATCTTTGTCAGAAGTAGACAAGGCCTTTACTTTTATAACCCTTTCTCTCAGCTTAATATTGCTTGACAACGTTAGATCATAGATATCTGCAAATCGTGCTTACCTGATGGGCGTTCCACTGCTGCATGAGATCCTCGTAGCAGGGCATGCAGGCCTGTATCATGCCACGTGGATCCTTTGGACGCGAACGCGCTGGTCGCGGATGCTGTTCGTTGAAGAGCGGAAAGTAGGCAACCGACTGACCGTGGCGGGATTCCTTTGGCTTGACGGTGCTTAGTTCGACCAGGCTGCCGCGACGCTGCTCGTCGCCGCACACATAGCAGACTTCCGTAATGGAGTTCTTATCGGGCATGGACAGATCCAGAATGCCCACCTCAGCCGAGGAGGCGCACGCAATGCCCGCCTGGCTACGAGGCGTGGGCGTTACCACAGGCGTGGGCATTGCTGCAGGCGCTGCATTTACCGTTGATGAATTGCGCAAATCCAGCACCGTGGCATTATCATCCTCCAGGCTAGGCGGCTGCGCGCTCAGCGGCATAGCAGACCCTATGCCAGGCAGCGCACTATACGGATTGCCTTTATAATGTGCCTGGGGCTCACCCGAGACAGCGGCCACCTGCTGCAGCAGGTGATAGGCAGCCGTTTGCTGCTGCAACTGCTGGTACTGGGCGGGCTGGTACTGTGCCGGCGACTGGGGCGGCGCTGGCGGCTGATAGTTGTGCTGGCCCAGCTTAAACTTGTGCTGCGCAAAGTTGGAGCTGGAGCCGGCCGACGTGCGAGCTGGCGGCTCGCTGGGCGGTCGCGACAATGGCGATGGCAGCTGCATATCTCGCGACTGCGGCCGGCTCAGGTATTTGTGATTGCTATAGCCATGACTGTGGCTAGTGGGCGTGGCATTGCGAGGATAATAGTCTGGCGAGGCATTCCTTGAGGTACTATGGTGTTGCAGAAGTTGAGGCGACACCGCCGGCGGCGCCCCAACAGCATAATGCCTGCCCAAGGCATACGGATCCAAAGGCGGCGCTGCCGCTGCATTGTGCAGCTCAGCGAGTCCGTTCTGGCTGAGATGCTCAGCGCTGAGGCCCAGCATTTGGGCCGCATACTCACTCTGCGTGGCCACATCTGCTCCAATGTAGCCCTTGCCATCAACCCGCTTCATATGATAAATGCGCTGCAGCAGCGGCTTCTTCTGCCTTTCGAACGCCTCCCATTGCTCGTGCAGCAGGCGAAAGCAGAGCATGCAGGCCATCACGTACATTTGGCCGGCTGCCACGGGCGGCACTCCCTGTGGCGGCTCGTGCCGCTCCAGGAACGGAAAATGCGCCTCGCTCGGCCGCTCTGGATTGATGCGCACGCGCAATGCCTCGTAGCTGCCATGTCCGCCGCAGACAAAGCAAACGGATGCGCTCATATGTTCGGGCGGTGCCGAGGCGCGGCCCGTCGACCGGACTGGCGCTGGATAATATTGCTGCATATTACTATGATAGCCACCAAGCGGCGACGGCATCAGCTCCGCGCCGACCGCGTGCTGACTGTGCCCCTGCGGCATCGGAGGCGGTGGTGTTGCTGTTGGCTCGGATTGCAGTGGTGCGCTGCTGCCACGAAGTTCATTTTTAATGTACGCTTTCGCCTTTTCCATAATATTCAGCTGAAAGTGAAGAGATGTACCAAATTAGTTGGATCTTTGCTTAAGGATCGATCGCGATTTGTTAACTGATTAGTTATATATATAAAAATTATAGCCGTAAAAAGTCGGGAGACATAGAAGGAACAATGCTACTTCCTTCAGTCGGGTCTAATCTACAGCGGGGCAGTAAAACGATCTTTAAGTAGTTTTCAGCACACTCAGCTCTACAAAAACCGACTGTGAAATATCGATTTTTATCGATACTGTTTTCATGATAAAGAGACTCAACAGAAAGCAATTCAAATCATTAAAGTTTTGACGGAGTGAAATGGAATGCTCATTAAAACTAGATAATACCTACAAAATAAATTGATTAAAATATTCTTTATATATATTAATAAATATATATCAAAGCAGTAAATAAAGAGAAAATTTTACTTGTCAGTAGAAAAGGGGAACTGTCAAATATTCAATCTCCAACAACATATCACCAAACAAAGAGACCAACAAGCAAAATACCCGAAAATACTACGAGTTCATAATATCATATGCTATATATACCCTATATACTCAGAAGATATTTAATTGGTTAACGAAATGAAGCGCCTGCACATCGACACAGACGTGCCCAACTATCCGAGTGGTAAATGGTCATGGGACGAGGAAGCTGATTGCCTGAAATTTGTGCCACATAGCGAGATGGGGGAAGCGGGGGAACGATTCGTGCAGACGAATGGATTCAAGTTCCTGCGCACCCTCGATGAGAAGGAGGAAACTGTTTTTCGCCAAAAGTATGTGCGTCCCGGTGCTAGATATGATTTGGAAACCATTGGGTTAGACGATGTGCGTGATCTGGTGCTCTTCATGATGCCAAAAGAGTTTTTGACGATGAAGTTTGTTCGATTCGTCCACCAGCCAGCGGTGCACAGGCTGTTTCATGCTTTAATTATTTACTTTAACTATTTTCTTCAATTGGTAGAGTTTATTTTAATACGACGGGACGAAACGACGGTCGCTTCGCGCCAGATGCAAACCCACCAGACGAGTGAAGTGAAACGAATATGGTCAATGTACCTGAGCCAGTATCGCCTTTTAGTAGCCAGGAATTACAGCATTATTTTAAAGAGCGAAGGTGATCTGAAGCAGTTCTATCACACAAAGGAGATCGTCCATATCACAGCTAATATCGAGGATCGTGCGTTTCAGAATCAGTTTTTAGCGTTCACAATTCAAGTCGTTTGGATTACCCTGCACAGACGGGCTTATTTCGTTATTGAAATGGAAATGAATCGACTTTTCTTCTCCGAACAATTTTTATTAAATGTAAGACAGTATCCGGAATTTACGCCTGTCGAGCGAAGCTTCCTCTATGGCCGCAACAGTAAAATTGTCAACTATCGTTATCAAAGATCGCCATTGACTCAAGAGTTGATGAATATAGCCGATGAGGATTTGCCAATACTATGGATAGGCGAACGAATCTATCGTGGCACCGATACTCGCATATCTGAGCTCGAGCTGGAATATATGGTGCCGGGCGTGCAGTTGTATATGGCCGACATATCACACGGTATTCTGGGTCATCCGAAGTCGCTGTACAACACAATCCTCAGCTTGGACTGGCCGTCCGTTCGCTACGCGAACTTTTCAATGAATTATGATCCCTATTATATTGTAAGACAGCCGAACTTGCATATACCCAACCTGAACACGAGGACGGTGCGCAGAATGTCGAAGAGCTTACAGCAGTTCTTCAAATTATATTCCATCTACGAGCAAACTTCTGATGAGGTTATTTTGAATTGGGTCAATCGCGCTAAGGTCATCAAACACTATAAAGCTGGCAAGTCTTTAGATGGTGTGGCAAAGCGCCCCACGGAGCATCCGAAAGATACGCGAAATGTGAACCAGATTGTTGACAAGTTTATAGATACTATGGGAAAATTACGTAAGGAAATAGTGAAAGACACGGAGCCCGCTGACCGTGTGAATGCAGCGCCCCATTATGTAATTAAAGGTGATGAACGATATTTTCGAAAATAACTGCGATTTATATATACAAAGGCTCAAGTTTGCAATTTTGATACAAGTCGACAAGATATCGATTTTCTTCAATTTCACAACTGTTGCATTACACTATGATTATAATAAACTTACTATAAATAAACAAACATAAAACGAAAAGTTTTGCTGCATCTTAATTGTTGATCTTAATACTCAATGACAGTTGCCAAGATTCCTTTACTAAGATATCATTATCTAGACTTTTTGGCCCATTGAAAATCACATTTTATATTTTATATGTGGCTGACACCACTCAGATTACGATCAGCCGAGTCGTAAATTAAAAAAGCTAGTGAAATTTGTAATTTTGGATATATATGCCATATGCAGTAAGAGTTTATCTTTTCCATTAAAAAAGGAAGTTCGTGGTTTAAGGGTTTTTGTGGAAATGTATATAACGCGCTCAAGGCACGGTAGACCCCATAAAATATATAATCTAGATTAAGACAACGAGCTGCTTCGATTCAATCATGTCTGTCTGTCCGTCTGTCTGCCTGACTGTTCCTGCGTTTACACGTCCGTCCAACTGTTTTCTGTCCATCTTTATTGTCTGTCCTTCCTTCCAACTGTCTGTCCGTCCGTCCGTTCAGCTGTCTGTTTGTCTGTTCATTTGTTCATCCGTCCGTCCGTCTGTTTGTCCGCATGTCGTATGTCTGTATGTCTGTCTGTCCGTCAGACTGTCTACCTGGCCGTCCGTCCGACCGTCTGTACATCCATCTGTCTGTTCGTCCGTCTGTCTGTTTGTCCGTCCGTCTATCTGCATGTCCTTCTATTCGTCCGTAGGTCTAAGCATCTCGCTAACCACAAAAGCTAGATAATTACAATCTTAAATATATCTAAGCTTTGCATTATTTATAATCAGACCAGTAGATACTAAAATTAATGTAAATTATTATAAACGAGCAACTGCTGTCCACGTTCCATCGTTTAACCACTCATTTGCAGCTTATTTCATAAATATTTCAATATTTAAGTTATATAGTTTTTACAGTTATTAAGCCTATATCACAGGAGTAGTGCGTTTAATGTATTAAAAACAACAACTTAACATAAGTCTCCAAAGTTTACTTGCTTCCAGCATCCATCAAAAATAATCAATCTCAAAAATATATCACCAAACAGAGAAACAAACAAGCATCAAATATACAAAATATCAACAATAAATATAATCGTAATCATTTTTATTGCTATCCAACATGCAACGCTTCCATGATGAAAGATCTGCACCGGCGTACATCAGTGGCAATTGGAAGTGGAACGATAACACTGAGGCGTTGGACTTTCAAGTTTATACTGACTTGGAAGAGAAGCCTGAACGTTTCATATATACGAATGGTTTTCAGTTTATTCGCACAATAACCCAGGATGAGGAATCGGTGTTTCGAATGATGTTCCTACGCTCCGAAACCTCATTCGATGCGGACACTGTGATAATCGAAGATGTGCGAAATTTGGTGTTATTTTTAATGCCAAAAGAGTTTGTGACAGCTTCGTTTATTGAATTTATGCACCAGCCGGTGGTGCTTAACCTGTTGAATGGTTTAGTTATATATTTTGAATATTTTCTGCGTTTCGTGGAGTTGGTGCTAATTCAACGCGACGAATCAGTTGGGCAAAATAGGAAAATGCAAACGATGCAATCGGTTAAAATGAAGCGAATTTGGTCCACCTATTTGAGCCAGCATCGCCTTCTGGTAGCTCGCGATTACACCGAGCTAATATTGGGTAGTGGGGAGTTACATAAGTATCATCATCTGAATCATCCACTCAACATTTCCGCCACGGCGAGGGACTGTACGATGTACGAGCAATTTCTAGCGGTTGCTACTCACATCGTCTGGATCACCATGCACAGGCGGGCATATTACGTGATTGAGATGGAAATTAATCGACTATTTCGATCCGAACACTTTTTGAAAAAGCGGCCAGAGTATCCCAGGTTTTCGCCCGTTGAGCGATCGTTGCTGTATGGACGAAACAACAAGCTAGTCAGCTATAAGTGGCAAACCTCGCCATTAATGCAGGAGTTGCAAAATATTTGTCAAGCGGATATGCCGCTCCTATTTATCGGTAGACGGAAATACATTGGGACTGATGCACGCATAGCGGAGCTCGAACTGGAATACATAGTGCCGGGAGCACAGTTACGTCTCATTGACGTACAGCACGGCATTCTGGGCCATCCGAAAACGGCGTACGACACTCTTCTCCGATTAAATTGGAGCTCCGTGCGCCACTCAACGGATGCTTGGATAGTTAGCAAGCAGCCATATCTACGTATACCTAACATCAAGAAAATAAAGGAACTCAAGTCGACTGAGAGACTGGACTATCGCTACAATATCCTAATGCATTACGAACCAGCGCCTCGGGAAATGCTCGTCAAATGGATGAAACGTGAAGAGATAATCAAAAACTACATGCATTATGAGAAAATCGAAAATGCCTCTGACATGTGCAAAAAGATATCGATAAGCGAAAAAGATTGGCGAGCCGCGCACAAGGTTGTTTCCTCCTACATGGGTATCATTTCCAAACTGCGTAAATCTCGAAAATGAAAAATGGTCTTCAAATTGTTGAAACTCTTGAAGATGAAATAGCTCCTGAAGGCGAAAGTAAGGATAAGCTGCTGCATTCTTCCATTCCTTTTGCAATCTGAATTGGAATATAATTCAGATTGAAATATATAGTTGCCTAAACTGTTGAATCTAATTTTACTTTGTAACAAAATATATCTTTAATAAATGAAAACAAAAGAATTCTGGACAGACTCAGTTTGTATGCCATAGAGAAGTGAAGAGCAGTAAAGAAATTGCGATTTGCTTAACTTTAAGTGACTTGAAATTTCGAATACTCCCTCGTCCATTCACCCATCTCATAATTTCTTAGGATTTCTATGAGATTACTGCAAGACTTAATCATTCAGGGCTTCCCTTGATAGATCTTCGATTGACTGGAAATCCCGAATCAATAAATAGAATTTATTTTCGCGTAAAAGTTCATAATCAAATCTTAGGCATAGTTCGACCGATTTGTTTTAATTGAAATTTATGATCTGTGGCTAACGTTAATTCATTGCGTTTTATATTTCATAATTCACAAAGCAAACAGAGTCATCAGCGCTTATTTCACAAGGTGTAAGCTGAGCGGTTGCTAAATGAGAACAGCACACAATTGCTTAGCATATTCAGGTTCAAATTCGCTTAGACCTGATCATACAAATTAACACCAATCCATCTGGTTCTCAGACAAGCACAAACGAAATGTTTACAGTATATAATACATATTTTCAAACAACGAAAGCTTGATAAATCTGGATTTGCCATAGTAGAGACTATGCCAATGGAACACTAACTAGAGCAGTCGAATATTTATTGCTCTCTTTCGGCAATGGGCTTTCCTTTCTGGCCGACGATCGCCGCAATTGCTTGCCTTTGCCTTATCAAAGTCATGCTGCCACCTACGTCATTCATAAATATATTCACGAATGTTCACTTCGAATGTGTAATACATTTTAATGAAATAAATGCGCAAATAAATAAAAATAAAATCGCATCGGAAAACAGTGCTCGGCGGCACGAAGCAACGGCCGACAAATCGCCGACGTTGAATCCCATTTAGAGTACAAAATAAAAGCTTCCCGCATCACGATGCCAGAGATCACGATCGCAGATCAGCGATATATATGTGGGTTATCGCTGCTCTGATGAAATAGGTTATCAATGCCGGCAATTGTCCGCTTAACGAGCAACAAAATTTGTACATTAAAAAGCTCTAAATTTAAGAATTATTCAAATTTATTGACACGATCAATAGGCAGCAATTACTAGCTGTACAGTTAGCTCCCGTTGCCGTTATGCAGCTGTAACTGTTACTGAAGTAACAAACTCTTATCGTAACAATTTACTATATATAGATGACTATATAAGCCACGCTAATGTGTTCTGCAATGCTTTTGATTTCTGTTTGTAATACCCTGTACTTATTGAAAATCGTTAAAAAGGGTATATTATATGCTTGGTATTGTAAAAGCATTTTTCTTTATATATCAATAATAACGGCTCTCAAAGCTGGTCTGAGCTGATATTTTTATTGCCTCCTCAAATGTTGTTTATAGAAAAATAATAAATAAAATTGGGGGTTCGAACCCTTGAACTATATGTGCTAATGATATATTAAAGGAAACAGCAGAACGTATACATATAGTAACCTGTACAACTTAATAGTTAATATACTCTTCCTTAAATAGTTAATTATTGATTGAAAAAAAACTGTGTCCTGTAGGTCAACAAAGTGTGTAAATATTTTGCAGCTACAATAATATTTGTTTCTCTTCTTAAAAATCAACTCAAAAATATAATTGAATTTAATCGTCAATAAACTCTACAGTGCAATAGGAGAATACTGTAAAAACACTTTATGAAATGAGAGTTTAAGTGTCTCTAACAAGCAAATTGTCTGATTTGATCAACTAATTAGAAAGTGTATAATTTCATATGCAATTGCAGACACAATCAACAAACGCGCCAAAGCAGCCAGATAATATAAAAACAACAGACATTATTGTGGCAGGTAATTAAATTGCTTTATTTATTTGTTTTACTGCACAAATTAAATTTTCCAACAATTGTAAACTTGTGAGCGAACAAGCGCCATAAAGTTAACAAAAACAGAACAAACAAACAACAACAACAACAAGAACAACAACATCAGCATAAACAACAAATTTATCAAACGCCCCGCTCTCCCAGCCATCATCAACATCGATGTGCATCGAGCTGGCCATGTTTCAATTATATATATTTTCATTTTTCTTTTATCGACTTTTTTTTAGAATTCCATGCTGCGCCAAGTTTTAGAGCAGAGTATGGGCTGTGACTAGCAGGCAGTAAGAGAAATGTGCCCGTTGCTAGTTGCCAGTTGCTACCCTGTTGTCGAAATGGGGTACATTGGACTGCAATATCAATTTCACGCAAAAGGATTACTTTACATTATCCGACTATATATGGCACGGAACTGAGTTATGTTTTTAGTAATTATGTAAAGGAATCTATGTAATATTATTTAGTTAAGTTAAGTTAGTTAAGAACTTTTGCTAAAGAATTGTACATAGTTGAAAACTATTCAGATTTTATACCTAAACAGCACTTTTTAGTCGGACTCTCCACCTACAACATTTATGCACGAGCCTTCGCCTTGAATGCGTATTTATGTTGCTTATGACAGAAAAAATCTTATCAAATACTCATATTTTTATTTATATATTTAGAATTGCAAAGTTCTATATGCCATATAAATATCAAAATCTGATATCAAATAGTCAATACCTAAATCATCAGCGAGAGCTATTCTGAGTTAAGGAACTTTCTATACTTTCCAACTTTACCTTTATAAGAAATGCAATAATTCGAATTATTTACGAATCATATCAAAATAATTTTAATATTTCGTTCATTTTTTTTATTATTTATCTTATTTATATTATATATTTATTATAAATATTTATAGTAAATTTATCTTATATTTATATTTATATATTTTTGCCATGCATCTTATCATATTTTGACTTATTTCAGCCCATAAAATTTGATTGATTCTTGTATAGCATAGTTTTATAATTTTAGAAGTTTACTTCATCAAGTCGTTGTGCATATTGAAGACGTTTGAGTATGATCTTGAGTATGATCTGTGCGGGTTGAATTTAATAACTGATAGTAGTGAGCTTCCCTTTAAATAGTAGATCACTCTGAAGTGAAAATCCCATTTCATGCCATGTGTGCCAAGATGTTTTGAGCTCAGAATTGACGTACTGATTCGATACACAAAACTCTTTGCAATTTGTTTCTGAAATTGCACGTTTATTGGGTGCACAACTCCAGGAAGAAAATAGTAATAACAAAAATTAACACAAAACTTTTGAAGTATTTAGGCAAGGGTATTTAAGTTTCGAAGTGCCCGAGTTAAATGTTCTACTTTTTAGCTACGGCAACCTTTTAAGCGTCGTTGTTGTTGTTGTTGTTGTATAAGCGAGCTTTGGCTTCGGCATGCACTTCAACAATGTTGCTGTTGCTGTTCTGCCGTGTCCTGCTGCTGCTGCTGCTGCATTTGTTTTTAAAACTTTTGCTGCACTGAAACATTTTTATGGCTCTCGTGTCCTTCTTGCACACAACGTGCATGCCCCAGGCAGCGGCATGGCGCACACACACCCAAAGAAACGAAGAATGAAAGAAAACAAGTGAAATAGAAAACACGGCGTAAAGAAATTCACGTTGACGGCTTTAAGCGACGCGTCGCCCGCAGCAAAACTTTAAGAATCGCGCATAACAATCGCAAGTTGCCATTGCTTATCGCAGCTTGTTCTTGACATTGTTTTTGTTATTCTTTCGACTAGTAGTTCGCCAATAGTCGGAGCTCAGAGCGGAAGTTGCACAGAACAAAAAAGTAAAGTAACTGAAAGTTTTCTAGGACGGTTTGAAAAAGTTTCGCCGTTGAGAACTTTGAACGCTTTTTGGGAATTTGTTTCTCATTTTTCTTCCAAGTTTTTTTTTCGCTCCAATACTGAGGTGTTTAAACTTTGCCGTCTTCATTGTTCGTTTTTCTTTTCTTGTCTTTCCTTTTGCTCTGTGTCTGTTCTTAGTGACTTTGTTGAAATGGAAAACTAAACGCATTGGCAAATAAAACTAAGTTTTTCAACATCAAATTTAATTTAAACAAGAAAAGAGAAAACGGTCAAACTTTGGCAGGGCAAAGATTAAACAGCTTTGTAGGCACATGATGTGAAAAGTTTTGCATGCAAATAGGTTCGATCGATTGTGGCCATAAAAGTGAGGTTATTCGGTAAATCAATTAAAGTTTCACAAATGGTTATGGGCTTAAAGGTCAGGTCCATTTATTACTGAAAGTATTATCACCTGCTATAAAATATTTGGGATCTATTGAGTCAATCTGAAAATGAGCTTTAGTTAAGAAAGTATAGATCAACTTGCATCCACCTAAGTCTGAACCAAAGGTAGTACCAAAAAATGTTAATACTACATTCAAAATATAATAAATACAAATAAATAAAATATAAATTTATTGAAGCATTATTCCAAATTTCTACAAATTTATCTATAAAATATAAACTTAAAATTATTTAACTGTCTATAGAGTAACGAACGGTCGAAGTTTTAAGCTTTCATGAACTTTCCGCCTAAAGTATTTTTAGTTGTTTCATTTTGCAATTTGTTCGTTTGAATAGCAGAATTGAATTTTAAAATTTGCATTGGCCAACACGAATAACACAAACTGCATATAAATCCTGCCGACATAGCAGCGTGTGTAGGGGTAGCCGGAGGGTGGGGCATAAAATGGAATTTATTAAATAGAATTCCACGCAATAAACTCAGACAAATAAAAAGGCTTGCAGAAATAACAGCAGCAGCAGCAGCCACAACAACATCAACAAAAACAGAGAAAAGAGCTGCAAAAACAGCAAAAACAAAATTCGTAAATTCGTGCCTGCAATTTTATGGCAGGACGTTCGATGTTGGCTATGTGCACGCATCCCGTCGCCAAAATCCCAACATTTTCCCCGAAACCCTTTGGTCCCGCTCTACTTTAAACAACAAAAATATAACAAAAAAACAACAATAATAAAAAACGAAAAAATAAAACGTTTTCGACCTCGAAAACAAAAGCGAAATAAAATATGAAAGAACAGCTAATTGCGGAACAACGAATATAAGATACGCTTGGGAAAGAAGTCATTAAGGAAAAAATAAAAATAATATGTATATAAAAAATAATATAAATATATAGATAGAAACATAAACTATATAGTACGAATAAATTGGAAATTGAAGTGATATATTGTATTATAATTAAATAAACTTTGACTTCCTTTGATGCAGTTTTATTTAGGAAGTGGATTGGAAGACAATTATGAATCGTATAACCATGCTGTAAGTGTATTTTATATGTATATAAGATAATCATCTATAAAGTTCTATAACTAAACTTGTTGTGTGACTTATAAAATTATATACTATATTATATAATGTAATGTAACAAATGTAAAAGAGTAATTATGAATAAAAACAACATTTATAATATTTAAAAATAAAATAATATTTCAAAAAAATTTATTTAACAGTTATTACAGAGAACACGTAGAATCTTTAATTGAAATTGCTAAAAAATTATACTTGTCAGCAAATAATGATAATTCACATACCCCAAATTAATGTTTTCTCTAAGTCATCTGTAAGCCTTAATTCGTCAGCATTTTAAGATATTTTGGGTAAACTAAATGCTGCAGTAGACTGGAATCATTTATACAATTTCAATAATTCCAGTTAATGCTAAGCGAGGCAAAGATGTTGCAATAAAATATATTTTAAAGCTTTGGATTTTAAGCTGAAGCTGGCAGTTCTTCAAGCGTAAGCTTCAAACTTATATGACTTGGAAGATTAATATAATTTCTATAAATTATGAGGTCGACTTTTCTCTCTTCTGCAATACTATTTGCTTAAACAGCTTTATTTTCTAAGATAAATTTGACCCTCTCTCTTAGACTCAAACTCTTCAGAACATAGGATACACAATGATGCCAGAAAGCTGTGAGTTTCAGACATTTAAGATTCAATATCAACTAAGGTATCAAAATAAGTGAGATTATTGGAATAGACCCATGTCAAATAAGTAGCACACTCTTGAACCAATTAATGTTAGCCTTCGTAAGGGTATCGAAAACAAGATGAGCAGAGAGCATCACATTTTTTCCATTAACGACTGTCGCAACTGGACTCCCATCTCCGCCATTCGCCGTCCGCTGTGCAGTTGGACAGCTGAAAGCAAAGCAAAATATAAAAAAAATACAAAAAGGTTGCTGAGCGCCAGGCTCCCAATGCTCGCAATGCTCCCAGTGCTCCCAATGCTTCCAACCAGGGTGAATTAATAACCGTTGTCGCTTTTAAAGTTCAGTCGAATCGACCGCAAGCGACGCCAACGGAACGAACGGAAGGGAATGGCGGGAGGAACAGAAGGGAACGGCACACAAGACGAGGCCCAGATGAATTGACATTTAATTATTGCGTAAATCATAATTTTGTTCTTTTTTTATTCTCTGTTTCCCCCTTTTCATGTCGTCTGCCGTTGTTAAGTGCTCCACACTGGGGACCAACCGCATCAAATACCCGTTTTAACGGCTTCGCATTCATTTCATTTCATCACTTTAATAAAACGACAAGGATTTAACTTGTTTCTGATAGTCAGAAATATGTTATGGACTACTTTATGACTGCAAGTCAAATAAAATTGGATATTGTTCGTGGAGGTAGTTTAGATAAGTGGCGTCCCCTTAACGATCCCATCAACGTAATCAATGGGTAGTAATTCTGAGATCGAATTCACATATAATAAGATAAATAAGTTACTTAATAGAAAATGTCAAATTATAAGTGTTTTTTGATATCATTAATAATATAAGTTCAATCCAGAATTATCCAGAAACACAGTTGAGCAATAAGCTGTTAAGCGATCCTCCAGATCTTATATAAAATTTGATAAAAAAAAAGCCAAATCTCAAGTGAATTATTAAAAAAACGCGTCACGTTTGACGTGTATGCAAAAGTAATTTTGAAACGATTTTACAAAGATAAAAATATTTGTTTAAATTATAATATTTCTTTAGAATAATAAACAGTAACAGTGACAGTACCAGTCCTAGTAACAGTAAAAGTACCAGTAACAGCAAGTACAAAGTAACAGTGACAGAAGCAGTAACAGTAGCAGTAACAGTAAAATGATCTTAAGACAACATAATTTAGTTCTGTATAGAACTGGAGATACAAGATGGAGTTATGACATCTAAATATACAGCACATCTGTGAAAGAAAAAGGATCAATTCCTATATATTCTTTAAAGACGAGCGTCAATTTTATCGTGCTACAAAATTTGCTGGCTTGCGGCATTCCACAAGGTAATCTTAAGATAAGAAACTTGCACCTAACAATGATTAATGCTGATAGAGCACGCTTACTTATAAATAATATTGATATTCCTGTGACGTTCACTTACTCCAGAAAGCTGTATACGTAAAGAAATCTTATCTCTGTAGATCAGACAACTCTTTATTTGATTTTTGTAGAATAAATATACAGTAAATTTTTGTCACAAATGCATAATTCACAACTAATAAGTGTTAAACAACAATATATTTAATGTTCAAACGCTTAAAGGGTGCATCAAATGGGGTAAATGGGGCATTAGCTGAAACTTCTGGTATGCCAAGTGATATTCTAGCAGAACTAATACGGCTTAACTGATGGTTGCCAAGCGTAATACTATATATATATATATAGAAGTATGGAAAGAACCAAACTGAATGTCATGTCAAATTAATTTAAATTAATTGAATTTACAATTTTGTGGCGGTTTGAGTCTAACAGAAACTGCTTCGAACCAATGCAGGGCAAAGCGAAGATTGATTAAACCGAAAATTAAAAAAAAAAAAAGAAACAAAAAGTAAAAGACAATCGATTGAATGGGAAAAGTCTTTGGTTATTTCATGTTAGCTATGTTGTACAGTGGACTGTTCTGATACTAACCTGTGTGCAAATGAATAATCCAGATCCAGATCCAATTAAATGCTGCTGCTGCACACACACATACACACATGCAGTTGCATATGCACATGTGAGCCGTAAGCTTAAAAGCCCAAGTCACGCGTCTTGGGGGCAATGAGACAAGAGAAAAAAACAAAAACCGACACGAAACGCATTTGGGAAAGATGCGCGCGATGCGATTAAAAGTGGCGGCCTGATTGGACGGCGGGACAGGCGCAAGGTAAGAGGCAAAGGCAGAGCCAGAGACGGCGCCGCCAACAACACCGACAAGTGACGTCAAAGAGCGGCTTAAATTCACTTAAACACATTAGGAGCGAAAGAAAGAGCGAGACGGAGAGAGAGAGAGAGAGACACTGAGAGAGTGAGGCACTTGGAGTGGCTTTTTAGCTTTAAATTTACTTTTAGCTTTTTGTTTAGCTTTTGGCTTTCTTTTGATTTGACTGCTTCGCTGATTTCTTTGCTGGTTTAATTTTAGCTTTTAAAGCTTAAGAGCACAAATGGATGATCGACTTAATGCGCTACTGCTTGGGGGTTTTTTGTAAGTATTCTCAGCTGTTTTATAGCTGTTGTTTTTGTTGTCAGGGGAAATTAGAGCGAGTTGTTGCTGCTGCTGTTGGTTTTGCTTTTGTTGCTGTTTTTGTCATGCTGTCGACTTTCGCTTTATTTCGCTTTGCAATTGTACAATTTAAACATTTTTAGGTATTTATTGTAAACATCCAACGAATTGAGAGCAATGCGTCGCTTCATGGTCACTGCGGTGGTCTCTGCATAAGCGCTCACACACGAATAACACACACAGACACGCACGATCACGATCAAAGCGATGGCGAAGCCCCCAGCCCCACGTCGGCAATGGCAACGGCAACGGCAACGGCAACGATAGCGGTCGAAGAACGACGGGTGACGGTGTCTACGGTGTCTACGGTGTCTACGGCCACCGTCACCAGCTGGTTGCAATTATAGTGAGCAACTGCAGCCGCGTGCACTATTCACTTCAATTTGTATTTGGCCAGCACGGAGCACGGCGGCGGCACCAACATGCACTACAGTCGAGTGGCACCCTACAGAAGGCAGCAGCAGCGGGCAGCAGTCGGCAGCGCTTATTCAATTGTTTGCATTAGCCTTGCATTCACGTTTGCCACTATCGCGACCACTGGCCGTCGCTTGTTGCTGCTGCTACTGCTGCGCGCTAGCGTCACCAAGGCACACGCGAATTTTACAGTCAACGCCAACGTTGCCGTTAGTAATATTTTTAGAATTTCTTTTAAATGCGAACTCTAAAATTATTATAACACTGTTTCGCCGCAGACGGGGCGATATTTACATTTAGATTTACACGCCGAACTACGGTCAACTTATCGATGACACCATCGATGGTAGCCGATGGTTGTGCGACAACTATCGAATGCATGCACGACTATCGCGATATGTTGGCGACCGTGTCAATGTTCAAATTGCAACTCTACATATTTAAATAATTTATCACAAAAATTATTTTAATTTCCGATTGGAAAACAATTAAATAGAAACGTATATAAGTGAAGTAAATATAATACGCATAACGACAAAATATAACAACAAAAAATTATTATAAATTTAGTTAAGAAAAAATAAATAAAATATTAAATTTTTAAAACATATTTTACCGAAAGTTAAATTATTTTGTAATTAAATAAAATATTTTTACTGAGAAACTATAATTTATTTTTAATAAGATAGTCATCCTAACACTAATCATCGCATGGCATACATTCAATGGACATGAAGGTGTGCTCGTTAAAAGAATATAAATATCGTATAATCGATATATCATTATATCGATGTTGAATCAGATTTAGTGTCAGTAATACCACTACAGCACCCGCTTCTGTTTGAAATTTTATGGACCGAGAAGGAAATTTTAAGCTTCAACCCTTAAACTATATCTATGAAATATAAGTAACATTTCTATTTTTTCATTATTGTATTAATTTTAATGTTTTAGCATGTTGCTTAAAAATACGCAAGCATAAAAACTTCTTTGCTTTCCGCCGGAATCTTTGCAAGATTCGTCTTTTGCCTGAGTTATATATATATATAGTATTTTATTTGAACAAATAGTCTTGTCAGAATATGTTGAGGTAAATTCGTTATTGTCACAAGTTTTTTAAATGTATTTAATAATTGTAATATCATTATTTATTAGTTTATTACCGAAAATAGTTTTCGTTTGTAATTTTAAACAATAGCGGAAAATATTTCGATTAATACTTATCGATTATAATAGCCAGTGTGTCCACAGTAACAGCGCTCTGTTAATTCACATTCAGTTGTGGCGGCTAATCGATAAGCTACTGTTTTAACTATTTGCGCGCCCATTTTTAGATTCAAATCAACACATCCAAGTGCGTGCCTGTTTTAAGTGTCTACATCTGTAACGAATGAAATTATATTAAACAATATCCTGAAAATGAACTCGAAACTTATTATTTTTATTGCGTTTATATGCATTGGTAAGTTATTCAATTTTCGTTTGAAAATATTTTTATAATAATAATATTTAATAATATTTTTGCTCTTAGAAACTGGAGCAGTAACTGAAAAACGCTCCTGTTTCAATTGTATTGAAACATTTAAGAATGCATCGAATGCCACCAGCAAACATATCGACAACACGAAGATCAAAGTCAATGAAACCAAGAATTTCATGAGAAAATTAAAGTTCACTAATCCTGAGGATTTCGTATTATCTGGAGTACAAATGTTCACTAACAACTCCGAGTGGAAATTATCAATGAAGCCTCGAGTGTCACGTATCAAGCACCCACTCAGCTCATTCATAAACCGTTTTAAGCATAAACTGGACTTCCTTCACAAGAAGAAACCCCTCAAATTGGATAAGCCCCAAGAGAAACAATATTATATGATTTTCAAGGAGAAGCTTCATATGGTGCTCTACGACAAACACTTTTCGCCCAAGCTAAGCGTCGTTAAGCTAATGTACACCATAGTCGAGGGGTTTTGTAAGTGAAATCAGATTTACTTACAGATCTTAACTGAATAATATATATATATTTATATAGGGAATCCAAACTTGATTCGGTAAGCTAAGGTCAAATTTCCATTCAAGTTAATCAAAATCACAATGAGTTGGTCTTTGATGAATAAGAGTTGATCGAATGAGGGACATATGTTAATGCAGTTTGGAAACATTTATTTTTATTTATGATAAATATATTCTTTGCATTTGAAAAAAGTCAAGAAAGAAAAGTTGAAATGAAATATTTAAAAATGTCATAGAAAGTAACTATAAAAAAAGATAAATATACAGAATTTGCATCTACTCAACATTCTCCATTTTGACATTCCTAACATTCCTTATTACAATTTTTTTCCATTCATATTCTAATAAGTCTCTAGCATAACCTCAAATTGTTGTTACATAACCTCAACCTTTGAAAATTCTCATTGAAACTTAGTTTCTTTTTGCCAAATCTAATTCTAATGATTGTTTACATATTTCTCGCAATTTTCTAGACAACATAACCTCATTTTTGCTATAATTTTAATGTTTAATTCTTTTAACACAATTTAGTTGAGAGCATTTTAGTTTAGAGAGAGTGAACTGCATTTTTTTTTTTTTGGCTTTTCTACACATTCAATTTAGACATTATATATTTTTATTTTAGTTAAATTTGCTTTTTAAATTTAATAATCTCAAATATGCAACATAAACTAAGATTAAATTAACTGCAAATAATTTAAAATTTGTAAACTAAAAACTGAAATTAATTTTAATTTTAAATAAATCCATAGAAATTAAGGTTCTTTTAAGTTCATCAATATAACCTTGTAAAACTTCTTATTTTTTAATTTCTTGAAATTTCATAACCTCAAATGTGACACAAATTAATTTTAATGAGTGCATAAAAATTTTCTTTCTTAACTCAAATAACCTTCAAATTATAAAATATTTCAATTTCTTTAAATTTCATAACCTCAAATGTGACACCTCAAATTAATTTTAATGAGTCCACAAAAATTAACTTTCAACTATCATAACCTCAAAATAAACTTTAAATTATAAAAATTTCCAATTTCTTTAAATTTTATAACCTCAAATTTACAACAAAACCAAATGTCAAATGACATCACTAATTTCAACTATCATTTTTAATGACTCTAAAAAAAATTCTTTTAAATTTCATAAAGCTGTAAATTATGTTTTTCATTAAATGTCATAATCTCAAAATTTTTCAAGTTCTATAGATTGCTGAGCTGTACTTCAAAACTGTCAATTGTTGCTCAAAATTCGTTTACCAAAACTGATTTAAATATATATTTAAGTACTTCAACCTAAGCTCAATATTTTGAATATATATTTTTATATCTATATATATGTTGGTTTATTTAATTTTTAAGGAAACACCCACAAATCTAGGAGAGCTCACGTCTAAGCTGTGTAAAAAAGAAAATAAAAATTTTAATAATAAAAATCAAAAATATAAAAAATAAAAATAAAAAATAAATTCGTCGATTTTGTATATATGGTATATAACATGTTAACATTTATTATTGACTACGTTTTAATATCGCATTTCTTTTGTTTTTTGTTTTTTTTTTTGTTTTGTTTTTGTTGTTTCTTTTTTGTTTTCTTGCAGGTACTTAGTACTACTTGCTCCACTAAACTTGCGATTATTGTACGCTTGTCCTAAGTTAATAAGGATATATATATATATATATCGATATATATGTATGTATATACAAGACTATATAGATAGTGTTTTACATGAGAATTTGGGCATAGTTTAGTTCAGTGTTAATAAATACTAAAAGTTTAGGCATTTGCATTAAATATATATATATATATATATATATATAATAAATACATCTCGAGTTATGTAGCTATATATTATATATGTTTGTTTTAAAGTAAAATATTTGTTGTAAGTAACCGTTAGAAGTAGCCGCTGTTGCTGTTGCTGTTAACTTGTTTGCTTAACCCGAAAAGATTTCAGTTAATATTTCTCTGCTTTTATCCTCTGTCAGAGTCAAGAGCCAAGTTGTACATTCGCATTAGATGTTTGAGTTTATCTAAATATATAATATATATATATGCACTTATTTAGCTAGACATTTAGTATTCGTATTCGTATTCGTATTCATATTCGTATATATATATATATATGTTACAGACTAGGTAGGCTAACACGTTAGGTCTTAGAGATAGGGTTAAATAGCACTTTATAGTAGTCGTGGTTTATATATCCATAAAATACTTGAGTAAAGATACGAGTGTAGACACAGGCTAACTGTTTTTCTGCTTGCTGTTTTCTTGTTTCTGTTTTTTGTTTTTGGTTTGTTCCCTCGAAAATGTTAATGGTCATTTATAGATAAGAAGATGCAACAGCTAGACGAGATCACGTTCAGACAATCGGCACGCACACCCACTCCATCAGCCGGAACAGCAGGGAGCACAGCCAATTCTAGGCAGCCGTTGTCACCTTTGCCGCTGCGCCAGGTGGGGCAGCTGTCTCGACGGCTGATGTGGCGGCGCTGCTGGCTGAGCTGTCCAACTGTGGCGGCTGTTGCGGCTGCTGCTGCTGCCGCTCCAGCTGGGGACCAGCGATGCTGGTGCTGCTGCCGCTGCTGCAGCTGCTGCTGTTGCTGTTGGCAACGGTTTGGCTGTTGCGCAGTTCAGGTGGCAGATAGATTTTGACTACGCTGCTGATCTTCGCGCGGCAGTTGGGGCAATTGCTGCATCTGCAAGGGAAAGAACTTTAGTTAGTTAAATTTGGCTTGAGTTGTTGGCTTTTTAGCTGAGCTCACCTGGCTGCACACTGCGCACAGGCAATGACGTGACAGCATGGATTGAACACTGTGTTGATCGCCCGATCCATGCAGATTTTACACTGCATAGCCTCGTTGATGCGGCTGTCCACGCAGCGCTCAATCGCCGCCTCACGCGCCTCCTTCTCGCGTATGGCCAAATCTATCTTGCCGGCCATGGAACCGCCAACAACGCCAACACCATCGTCGCCACAGCCGACCGCAGTCTCCGGCTCGCAGCTGCTGCTGCCGCCGGCATCGGTGGCCCCCATGCCGCCACGTTCGTACAGTATGCGGCGCGCCTGATCGTGCACCTCGCGGCACGTGTGCTGTATATCAAAGACGTAGCGCTTGCCCAGCTCGGTGTCCTCCTTGAACATCGATGCGATGGTGCCCTTGAGATCGCGCGTAAACTGATTCGTCACCACGCAGCGCACCTTGTCGCAGACGTAGAACGCGTGCCGCTCGGTGATCGAGCGATACAGCCCGGCGGCAATTGGCGGCTTGGACAGCTTGATCTCCAGCTCCTTGCGATCGTTGTGATCGTCCACATACTCCAGCTTAAAGGTGCGTCTCAGCGACTTTGCAGCGGCAATGGCACTGAATGGGATACTAAAGGAGAGCGACAGAGAGAGAGAGAGAGAGAGTGAAATATAAATTATTTTAATATTAAATTTCATATTCTATAAGATAATGTAAAAGCTCTAGGATCAACAGAAACTAAACCAAGTTAGGCTAAAGAATCAAGTCCAGGTTGATCTTGAAAGGGAATAAAATAGCCTGAGCTGACTAGAGAAAGTTTCAGTTTGAAAAGAAGAAGAAGAAGCTTACATCATATAAATATAAAGCTTTTACATAAACTGAAAGCTCATTTAAGCTTTTTCATATATTCAACTTATTGATAAAGTGCAATTTTCAGACAGGCAACTAAAGCTATTCATAGCCTCTGATGTAAATGAATGAGAAGCTTTTTGGAGCTTTTTCTTAAACAGCTTTCAAACATAAACTTTTCGATATAAATTGCACTTTCCTTAAGGTAAATTAAGCAGCTTTAGCTCGACAATGGCATATATTAATAATATAGAAAAGCTACATAAAAGCTCATTTGAGCTTTTGATTAAGTTAACCAAAAACTGAAACTTCTCAATAAAATATCCATGAGATGTCACACAAAGACAGCAAAGGTTACTTAGCTTACATAGAGCTTGCACTTGAACAAGTTTCAGCTGAAGCTTTTATGCGCTTTCAATAGAGCTTTTGCTCATATAAGCCTTTAGAGGCAGCTTGAGCCACGTTGGAAGGATGGAAAACAGCTTAACTTTTATGAAATAGAAAAAAGCTCTGCTAAGCTTTAGCATGTTGCCTAATTGATTTTAAATGCGCTTTCTAAGTTTCTGTAAAGCTTCTCTCTTAGTAAAGTGTTTATAAATAACTTTTCCATGTCTAACAATGAACTTCGTCTAGCAATAGAAAGCTTAGCTTAGCAACGGCTTCCTAGAGCTTTCCTAGAGCTTTCATACGCTTAAAAGTCTTAGCACAGCTGAAGTCTAGACAAGCCTGGCTAAGCAGACGATCTGCTAGCTATGCCTCGATCGATAAGCAAATCTTCAACTCACCTTTCTTTTTCATCCCCACGAATGACTGTGATGCCATGAGCGCCCACCGCAATGTCACAGGGCGTGGCGCTCTCGTTGGTGGTGACGCCGCTGAAGAGCTCCTCGCCGTAGCCGCTCAGCTCCTGGATGCCCTGCAGCAGCCAATACTTGGCCGCCTTTGGGGTCATCGGCAGCTTGGCCAACTTGCTGTGCTCGCTGGCAATCTGTCGCAGGAAGTCAGCGGGCGGCTCGAGGTCGCTGTCCTTGTCAGTGGCGCTGGGCAGGATCACGTACTCCTCGTACATGCGCAACGGATTGCTGGCCAGGCGCTCGTCCAATCCCGAATGGCTGCTGCTGCTGTTGCTCGGGCTGCTCGAACTGGAGGCGGAGGCCGACGCTGAAGCCGATGGCGATGGCTGCAAGTTGTTGCCGTTGCTGGCAACGTTGCTCGAGGGCGCGGACAGCGTGCAGCATTCGATGTGCTCCACGGACTTCTGTTTGGACAAGCGACGCTTCTTGAAGCCGAGCACGTGCTGATTCTCCTTGCGCTGCTGCTCCAGCTTGAGCTGCTGCTGCTGGGCCAGCTGCTGCTGCTGCGCCAGCTCGCGGCGCATGCGCATGGGGCACTCGGCGCGCAGCGACTGCTCGTTGAAGCGCAGCCCATCCGCCTGGCAGAGCAGCGCCGCCAGCTTGGCCGCATTGCTCCAGTCGTGGGCGCAGAGGCGCGCCTCCAGCAGATCCCGACGCGCCTGCATATAGAACAGATTGCGCACGCTCTCCTGCAGGATGCTGTGCACCGGCACCCAGAACTTGACGCGCAGCGCCAGCATCAACTGAATGCCGCTGCTGCTGCTGCCGCTATCGCCATGCAGCCGATTCCTCAGATTGTACCATTGCCGTGTGCGCGATTCCTTCTGATTGGGCGTCCATGGCTCCAGGCCAAAGTACTGCATCTCGCATATGATGTCCAGTCCCTTGCACACCTGCAAAACCAGAAGCGTTAGTTCAGAAGTAGAGCTTGGATAATATCTCGAATATAGCTTGGCTTATTGTCTACAGCTTGACTTGCTGGAAATATCTTTATTTGCTATAAGTTTCAATTTCCTGGATCTAGGCATTTATGCGCTGCATTGCGCATCAATCATGCTGATTGATTTGATTTTACATGATTCAAATTAGCAATTTGCAGTTGCGCTTTGAAGTTTCCAAAGCTAAAAACTGCTCTGTAAATCTGAGCTACCTAGCGCTTGCTATTCAGGCGCTGCATAGCACGTCAATCAAGCTGATTGATTGACTTTGCCTGCCATTTCATCCACCTTGACTTATATAATCCACAAAATTTCAAGTGATCAAGCAAAGTCTGCCTAAGCAAAATCTGCTTCCCTTAGGCTAAATCAATCTATGCCCATCGTATGCTAATACATCATCATGATTGACGTTGATTGTCTAACTTATTCGCAGCTCATATGTGTGGCTCACTTTTAGCTCAAAGCGCAGCTGCTCTACAAAAGTGCTTAGCATTGTTCGTCAATCAAGCTGATTGATTGAAGGTTTATGGCTTTATAGTTTAGATGCTTTAGAGTCCGCCGTTGCAACAGTTGCAGATACATTTGTATCTATTAATTGCACACAGAAATCTGCGGACTTGTTTGCACACTGAATGCTTATGGAATCAAATAAAAAAGGAGCAGGCGCAGAGGCAACCTAATCGCTTGAGAAGCTTATCAGCTCAGCTTGACAGCGCCACTGTCAGCGACAAACAGCGCTGCGAGCTGCGAGTAGGGACCATGTCGACAATGTCCTGTCAGTTGTCCTGTCTGTGGGTTTGTCAAATACAACATCGTTGCTATGACAGCAACAGCAACAGCCAGCGACATGTGTGTGTGTGGGTGTGTGTGGGGTGTGCGTGGGTGTAAGGCCTCGAAATATTTGCTTATGCAACGAGCGTGTCATCATTGCGAATGGAACAAATTCAAATGTTTGCTGCACGTCAGCGTTGACAACGACAACAACGAGAACTCCAGCAATTCGAGGAAGCAATCATAGCTGCAGGCCAGACTGCCACATACCCTGTAAAGTTAAAAGCTGTAGAAGAAAGGCTCTCAGATATCAATCGACTTTTAGCCTAGTTCAGCATGCCCCAACGGCCAGCAGGCAACCAGTTGACGCTGTTGTCGGTTTAATCTAACAGCAATCCGGGCTGGCACAGAGCCACCTCCCCACCCCGCCCCTTGGGTCAGCAGAGAGGAAAAAAGAATGCGAAGCGAAATTAAATGAAATTCGCAAAGCTCACACAAATTCCAGCAACAAAATTTCTTAGTTATGTCAACGCAGTCAGCCGCCACGCCCCTTGTTGTTGCAGCAGCATTCAGCTTGGTCTCAGTTCCGTTGTCCTACCCCACCCCCATGCCACATGCCCCATCTCCCGGCCAAGCAGCACTTTGCATAATGAGGCAACTTCTGGGCCAAGAGGCATGCCGCCAGGTAGTTACGCAGGCAGGTAGCCAAGGCAACAAGTTGCTCCCAAGGAGTCACGCGTCAGCGCCTCGCACATTTTCACTTTCCAATTAGACAGCCGCAGAATTTCAGATGAACTTTTGTGTGTGTATGTGTGTATGTGTGGGCGTGGCTGGAATTAGCTCTGGCAATAAACATGGCGAAATGTGCGCTGATGCGAAAGCACAAGCCAAAAACTTGTGGCAGCAACCCGACCGGGCATATTCCCATTGAGTTATTAGGAGAAATGTTTTTTTTTTGAGTTTTTTAAATAGAAAATTTAAATAAGACTTAGGTAAAGTATTTAATACTTTCTTGTTTCGCATTAGCATTAGCATTGGCATAAGCAAAGACTTGCCATTAGCATTAGGATAATCATTAGTATTAGCATTAATATTACGATAATCGTAAGCATTAGCATTAGCATTAGCATTAGCATTAGCATTAGCATTAGCATTAGCATTAGCATTAGCATTAGCATTAGCATTAGCATTAGCATTAGCATTAGCATTAGCATTAGCATTATCATTAGCATTAGCATTAGCATTAGCATTAGCATTAGCATTAGCATTAGCATTAGCATTAGCATTAGCATTAGCATTAGCATTAGCATTAGCATTAGCATTAGCATTAGCATTAGCATTAGCATTAGCATTAGCATTAGCATTAGCATTAGCATTAGCATTAGCATTAGCATTAGCATTAGCATTAGCATTAGCATTAGCATTAGCATTAGCATTAGCATTAGCATTAGCATTAGCATTAGCATTAGCATTATCATTATCATTATCATTATCATTATCATTATCATTATCATTATCATTATCATTATCATTATCATTATCATTGTCATTATCATTATCATTATCATTATCATTATTCATCATTATCATACGTATTATTAGCCTTGCCATCAACTTAGTTTATTATTACCAATTAAGAAAAGTTACAGCAATTTAATGGCAGTCAATCGTATGTGTAAAGAGACTCAACATTTTCATTGTTTTGGATCTTTGACATAGGTTCTCGAGAGGCTTCATTAGGTGCATACATTTTGGTTAGCAACGCAACTCAAGTGGCTGGCTGCCGCTTCAAATACCAATCAATTGATACGGTGCGACGTGCGAGTTCCCACGCAAAGCCAACGCCAACAACACGAAACTGTGGCCCCCCTAGGAGCGACCCTGAATGCGATGCGGTCCGTATCGGATGCGCAGGCCTGGGTGACACTTCCACATCCGGCGCAGATGACGATGACAACAAAGAGAAAGAGCCAGAGATGCGGGCCCGAGGGGGGGCGAAGGAATGCGACTGTGATTCAAATTGAGATTGAGATTGAGATTGAGACTTGAGCTACAAGTGCCTGCATGTAAATCGATCTGCTAACTGGATTATGTTTAATTAATTGCATTCGCCAGTGAGATACAAGCCAAGTCCCCTCCACGCGCCTCTCACTCTCACTCGCCTCATGCAACAGTCACCGCAAGGCAACTGTCAACGGCATTTGGCAGCTTAATTAGTTGATTGTTGAAATCGCATTCACGATGAATCGTTAACTAGATGACTGAACTTTTGATTGGAAAATGCTGCCACAAATGAAAACTGTAATTGAGTTAATCGTAGTTCGCAAGTTCATGACTTGGAATTTCATTAAAAAAAAATCACCTTTGATTAAAAAAAAACTCCAATGCATAGCAACAAAATATAATGATTCATATTAATATTAAAAACACGTTTTGCTGTTTGGCTAATGTCTTGACATTTGCTTTATAAATTAAGCTGATTATATAATATATTTTTAATTTTTTTTTTAAATTTTATTATATTTATTTATATGTAATTTGATGCGATTCCTGCTTAGCAGGCACTACCAATTCCGCTTCTATTACGAACCAGCTTGAGGCGAATTCCAAATTTTATTCAAAATCTTCAGTTCAATTCGCCGCATGCCTTTAGAAAGGCTGCACACATTCAAACATACTAGCATAAAAATATACATACATACAAACATGTGTGTGTATATTCATCTAAAAATATGCGAATCTGCTCTATTTATAGCTGCTCCGTTCGAAAAAAAAAGTTCTAAATGAAAATTCAATAAAACTTTGAAAATTTAATGTCTGTTTAAATCTTTTGCTTCTGCCTCGTTTATTTGTATGTACTAAACACAACTATAAGGCATCGTGCATTGTTTTTTTTTTTACACATTTTTTTAAGCGCGAAACGTGGCAACTAGCAAAAATGCTAAATCCATTCAATACAAAAGCGTCGACTACGACGACGACAGCGACGCCGACGGCAACGGCGCTAACGTAGGTGCAAAGTCCACAATTTGTGTATTTTGTTCGTTTCGTTTCGTTAAAATTAAATAAAATGCGAATCGTATCAAAGGCAAATGCGAAACGTGAACTTATTTTCTTTTTTTTCTCTTAAAAAAAAGCCGGCGACATCTGTATGTGTGTGTATGAGTGTGTTTCTATACATTTATATTTGCATTTGTATGTATGCTTGTGACTGGAATTGTGGTTAAGGAAGCCGATAACAAAAGATGCAAATAATTTGTGTAAAATTTGTACCAAGATTGTGTAATGCCATGCCCTCTGAGTGGGCGTGTGACGTCAACGGCAAGTACAGCAGCAGTTGCAGTGATTCCTATCGAATTCGAAAATTGAACAGTGCCCCGAAGGTGACACAAATTGAAATGAAAATATTGCCCCACGGGGCCGTCACAGTCACATTTTGGCATTTTTTGCATTTCGTAATACATGTATGTATGTACATACTTATATATATAAATACCATAAAATGCTTGTTTGTTTCTGTCACTGTGTTGTTTTATTTAGTCCGCAAAATCAACAACAGCAGAAACAGCAGCAACAGTCGCTGCTGTTTCAAGTTATTAACTTTTTTACATGCAATCAACAGACGCGGCCGCATGTTTTAAGAGTTTCAAGAGTCAATATATTAAGAGAGCCACAGTCAAGAGAGTGACGAACGGCATTACAAGCATTCACAGAAGGTAAACAATACGGAGCAAGCACAAAACAAGTGTTACTGCCAGAAGAGAGCAACAGAGTCATCGTCTCGCTCTCAGCAGCAGCAAAAGCAAACACAAACAAAATTGTAAACGAGTGTAAAGTATAGTTGTCGATGGAGGAGGTGATGGTGGGGGGGCTATGACTCGCACAACATGCTGGCCGGATGAGCAGAAAACCCGACCATTGCATTCGAATGGACTTTGGACTCGGGCCTCTGAAATGCCGTTTGGACTTTGGACTCGCACACACTGCGTGAGTGTTAACGTTGTTTTTGTTACTCTTGCCGATCGCTCGCGATGCTTTTGCTTATGTTATGTTTGTGTTTTGGTGTCTTTGGCATTTGCTGTTCGATGTTCGCTGTTTGCTGTTTGTCGTTCTCCGTTTGTTGTGGTTGTTGATAAATCGCCATAATTGAAAATATTAAGAGCGGTACAAACAAATCGGAGACA